TTACAACTGTAAGAGAAAGGCTAGAAATCTTCTACGTTCTCCTAGTTGCAGTTGCGAGAGAAAGGCTAGAAGTCTTCTACGTTCTCCTAGTTGCAGTTGCGAGAGAAAGACTAGAAGTCTTCTACGTTCTCCTAGTTACAACTCATTAACTCTGTTGGTTTGATGTACCTGTTTTATGGTTTGCTTTTTGCTTTTGAACAATTAACTACTGGAGAAATTTGTGTGAAATTTTAGATGAACTATTTAGAAATTATTTTGCTTCTGCAAAATAAAATATGTTTGTATGTAAAATTTGTTTGAATTCACATCTGTGAAATTATTTCATAGTGATATGTTTTTTTAATATACAATTAAAAATACTTATATTTGTCTTAACACTTAGGTACTGATTTTGTCTTCCTATATTCTTGTAGAGCTATCCATTAAAGTTTTTTTTGTATAAGACTATGAATTTTATCTTTAATTTAAAAATGCAATAACAGGAATTTTATTTTAACTCTTACCTTATGGTGGCTTGATACTGTGGGTCTAGACTTTGTAATTATTAATATCAAAAAACTTTCCTACTGTAAAAGTTGCTGTTATTCAGTTCAGTAGGTTCCTTACTAAACATAAATTTATCTTTCTATTAATTCCCAAAACTGCACGCGGCATCACTATGATTATGATCACTAGCATATAGAAAAAATAGCTTTATTTAGAACACCAAAATTGTTATTAAAGTGATTTTTTTTTAATTTATTTATGAAAATGCTTCATTTTATATATGCTTTAAAGTTTAAATCCATTTTATATTTTATATATATATATATATATATATATTACACTTCTCTTTGTTTATTGTCTTTTGCCTATTTAATGCCTTTTGTAAACACCCCTAACAAATAGTGACTTTGACATTTAAGCATTTGATATGGTCCAGGAAGTGATCTACCTAGGCCTACATCGTATTGTTCTACAGAGAACATTTTCAGTTGTACTTCAAAATTCAAATGTTGTATAAAGTGATGAAGCAATTTTTGAAAAAAATGAGGACTATAATTGTGGTATAATTTCATAACAAACATATTTTATTCTTGAAATATGTCACCAAGCTCAGCTGTTATCACCTTGTTCTGATCTAAACACAGTTCTTGCTGAACTGGAAACTGTATCAGCTTGTATACTTAAAGAAAAAAAAAAGCACTTTCAATACATGTTCAGAACACTAGTCTATGGCTTCTCAAAGCTCAGATATAGGCAAGTACATCACATCATGACAGCTGAGTTTTAAAAATGGTGATTGGCTAAAATTGACAAAAATTTAAATTCTATTAAATTACAAGAAAGAAATTGGTGATGTTTGTTACAAAACTATTTTGACTTTCCTTCTATGAGAGCTATATTATGCCATAATGGGTGGCATAGAATCAAAGGAAGTTTAAACTATACTACTTTTTGTTAGATACAATTCATTATGAGAAGTGTATTCTTCTTTCTTTAAGTTTAAACTATTGTACTTTCTATTAGTTACAACTCATTAAGGGAAGTTTACACTAGCCTATTTTTGGTAAATCCTTATATAAAACTTTCAGTTGATTGTGTCAGTTTTGATTTATTGAAATTTTTGTACATTAAATATTTTTATCTTTCATTCATTTCATAACCTTTAGATTTTCTGTTAAGTTATTTTATGTTGTATTTGTTATATGATAATATTTGATAGAACAAACATTATGCTGTTTTCATTTATTTTTTACATGTGTTTACTTCTGTGTAATTTAGGTTATGTTAGGGGAGCGTAAAGGAACTGATGAAGTGTATGCTATCAAAGTTTTAAGAAAAGATGTTATTCTTCAAGATGATGATGTGGACTGTACAATGACTGAGAAGCGGATCCTTACTTTAGCAGCCAAACATCCTTTTCTCACAGCTCTCTACTGCTCTTTCCAAACAGAGGTGTGTTATTAAAGTAACGTATGATTTGTACCATTTTATACAGTGCTGTTTTCAAACAGAGGTGTGTTATTAAAGTAACATATGATTTGTACCATTTTATACAGTGCTGTTTTCAAACACAGGTGTTGTTCGTGATTTAAATTCTTTTTCTGTCGGCCATTTTAAAGAGAAGCAAAATTAATTTCATTTGTTTTTCATTTCTGTTGTATGGATCCATCTCGTTTAACTTTTTTCAAACATAAAAAAGAGTTATAAACCAATAATAATTTTATGTAGCCAAAACTTTTAAATGCTTTATTTGTTTATATTTGTCTGTGTTTTGTATAAAAGTTTTCAGTTAAAGGTTAAAAAATGAAACCTTGTTATGATAGTAACAAGCACACTTTCTTTAGTTGATATTTAGATATTATGACCACCATAAAATGTGTGATCTGTAAATTTTAACTGTGAGTGTTCCATTTCTCATTCAAACAAAGGATCGTCTGTTTTTTGTCATGGAGTATGTAAATGGAGGTGATCTCATGTTTCAAATTCAGAAAGCCAGGAAATTTGATGAAGCTCGGGCAAGATTCTATGCAGCAGAAGTTACTCTTGCCTTAATGTTCTTACATCGACATGGAGTGATATACAGGTTAGAAATGTGTTCTCTCTAACAATGAACCTGAACATGTAGGTCTTTTGTAAATAAGTGGCGAATGTATTCATCTGAAATAAACAGTGGACTAAATATTTAAGTCTTGTGTAAACAGCTGAAACTAAAGATGTAGGTCTTTTGTCAACAAGTGACTGTTAACATTAGTCTGAAGTAACCAATGGATTCTAAATATTAAGTCTTGTGTAAACAGTTGAAACTAAAGATATAGGTCTTTTATCAACAAGTGACTGTTAACATTAGTCTGAAGTAAACAATGGATTCTAAATATTTAAGTCTTGTGTAAACAGTTGAAACTAAAAATGTAGGTCTTTTGTCAACAAGTGACTGTTAACATTAGTCTGGAGTAACCAATGAATTCTAAATATTTAGGCTCTGTGTAAACAGTTGAAACTAAAGATGTAGGTCTTTTGTCAACAAGTGACTGTTAACATTAGTCTGGAGTAACCAATGAATTCTAAATATTTAGGCCTTGTGTAAACAGTTGAAACTAAAGATGTAGGTCTTTTATCAACAAGTGACTGTTAACACATTCTTATAAAATAAACAATGGTCTCAATATTTGGGTCTAGTGTAAACAGTTAAATTTGAAATGTAGGTCTTGTAAACAAGTGATTATTAATTTTGAAGATATAGGTCTGGTTCTGATAACTTACAGGAGATCTAGGTTTGTCAAAATTACTTATCAAAACATTTAAGTCTAAAGTAAATGACTAATTATGGTTAGTTGGATCTGACATTAATAATTTACTAGCTTAGTGTAAACAATTTATTCTGAACAAGAGATTAAGTACAAAATATTGTATTGAACAAGAGGTTAAGTACAAAATATTGTATTGAACAAGAGGTTAAGTACAAAATATTGTATTGAACAAGAGGTTAAGTACAAAATATTGTATTGAACAAGAGGTTAAGTACAAAATATTTCATTGAACAAGAGGTTAAGTACAAAATATTTCATTGAACAAGAGGTTAAGTACAAAATATTTCATTGAACAAGAGGTTAAGTACAAAATATTTCATTGAACAAGAGGTTAAGTACA